CAATTGTATGCTCTCCTGTAGTGGTTCATTGAACCACAATACCGATAAGTGATTAATAAAAGTCAAAAGACCAAAGAGGTCACCTTAATACCAAAAAAAAAAAAAAAATAGATTAAAAATAATTAAATTTGCTTAATAAATAATAAAATAAAAAAAGAGAGTTACTATTTTCACCCATCATTTTTGCTAATACCATCTTTTAAAATACATAAAAGTGCTCTAGAAGAGATATTATTATTAAATAAACCTCTTTTTTGATATTAATTAAAATTGTTTATTAGACTTTTTCAGTTTTAATACTGATAAAATTATTAAAATCAAACTGATAGTTCTTTTTTAAAAGTAGATTAAAGAGTATAAACTTTAGATATAAATATTGCAAAAACCACTAGTCTAAACTTAATGATTTTATTATTATTAAAACTAAAAAAACCTAATAAACAACTTTACTTAATACTAAAAAAAGGTTTACGTAATAATAATATCTTTTCTAAAGCACTTTTATATATTTTGGAGAGTGGCATTAGCAAAAATAGGGGATGAAAATAGCAATTCTCCAAAAAAAATATATTATATATTTTATTAAAAAATATAAATAACAATAATTTCAAAATATTTTAATAATATAAAATAAATTTATTAATATAAAAATTATTTTAAATTTATTGAATTATTTTAAAATATTTTAAAATATTTTGAAATTATTTTATTTTTTTAGTTATTTTTGATAATATAACTTATTCATGATATAATTTTAAAAATATTTAAATTAATTTAAATTAATCTACATATTTTTGAATTATTTTAAAATTATTGAAAATCTTTTAAAATTATTTTAATTATTTTACAATATTGTAAAATAAAATAATTTTGCATTAATTAAAATTATTTTAAAAGATTATTAATATTAAAATTATTCACAATAGTTTACATATAAATTCTGTTAATATTACAAATATTATTTTATTTTAACAATATAAATATAACAGAAAACAGAAAAAAAATAAAGATTATAAAAATATTAAAAAACTAACTTAAATTGCAAGTGGTTTAAATACTAAAAAGACTTAATATAACTTAAGAAAATAATACAAAGTAACTAAAACTAAAGTAATAAATAATATTTAATAAACCAATTTAACAATAAAGCAAATAATAAAATAATCTTATAGCAACAACTTAAATTACTAAAAATAAAATTAAACAAGAGTAAACTGATGAGATGGCTTAAATAATTAAAAAACTTATACTAGAAAACAAAATAGTAAATAGTTAAAGATAGAATATGGTTTATCAAATAGAAATAAAAAAACATTATAAACATTTCTTTATAATTGCTTAAAAGATAATAAAAAAGAGAATAAATAATATTGAAGTTATTAAAAAAAAGAAAAAAATAATTTAATAATAAGAAAAGTAGTTATAAATACTTTTAAAAAGTATTTACAAAGTATTAAAAAATAAAATAAAAAAAAAACAAGTAAGTTAAGCTCTTTTAAAATATAAGAAATATAGTTTTAACTACTATATATAAGAGAGCAAAAAAGCTATAAAAAATAGAATAATAAAAAGAAAATTCAAGATTCCTTATTAAAATTCATTTAAAAAAAAAACTATTATTTAAATTAAATTAAGAAATAATAAACAGTTTGTATAAAAAAGTTATTAATAATTAAGTGAATATAAAATTCTAGTCAAAAATATAATATATAATAACTTAAATATAAAATTAATTAAAAAGCAACAACTAAGTAAAGACCTAAAGGAATTTTTTATTTTTAAAAACTAAAAAAATCAACTAAAATTAGATAAGAGGTTTATCTATTATATAAATAGTTTTTTTACAAAGTTGATAACAAGAATAAGTATTAATAATGATTATATAAAAGCAAACTATATATAAGTAAATACAGGGAAAAAAAGTAACAGATAAAGATATTATTGATATTTGAAATTAGTTTTTATTAATAAAATTAAAGTTACTAGCTATTTGGCTTATATTTTTAATTGTATTAAAAAAAATTTTAAATTTATATAGATAGTACAACAGTAATATTAGATCTTAATAAAGAAAAAAATAAAAACAAATAAACAATAAATTAAAGAAAAAAACTATAATCTAAAAAAAAATATAATAAAACTACTTGAATTAAAAAAATTAAAATTAGACTTGGTTAAAATAAATAAATATAATAACAATAAATAAAATAATAAAATAAATAAATTAACAATAAAAAGAAGTAATATAGATAATTTAAATAAAATTATAAATTTGTTATTACTAAATTTAAATATATTGTTTTGTTAAAAAAATATTTATAAAAAGATCAACTAAATAATTTATCAATGATATTTTAGATTCTAAGATTAGTACTAAATAAAAATTTATATTGTTAATCTAAAAATTAAAACCAAATAAGAAAAAAAATACAATTAACTATTATTGTAAAAAAAAATTAAAAATCAAATGAAATTAGATATATAAATAGAAAAAAAATAGAAAAACTACAACATTAATTAAATCTATTAATAAAAACTACCAATATTGAAAATTTTAGTAATAAAATATTTAGATATACAAAAATACATTTTGCATTTTATATAATAAAAATAAAGAAAAAGATTAAAAATATTAAACAATATATAAAATTTATGAAAAAAATAAATAGATATAAAAAGTTTAATTATTAATTTGATTTAAACAGTATTTTTAAAAAAATATTATATAAAATAAGCAAATTAAAATTAATAAAAAACTTATGAAAAGATTTAGTAAAAAAAAAAATTAAATATAGATTTAAGAGATTAATTTAAGAAAAAGTTAAAACAATATGAGTATTGCTAATGTTTACCCTAGATGACATTACTTAGTTTGAAAATCAGGTCAAAAACTGAATTAGAAATGCATTAGAAACACATTAGAAATGTCATAGACAGAAGTTCATCTGATTGGCTAATAAATTTAATTTAATTTTACATTATTTATACAGTTTAGAGTACTTTTTAAAAAAACGAAAACCCATCATAATAAAGTAAAAAAAAAAAACATATAGAGGGTTTTATTAGAGTTGTAGGACTCTATAGTCAAAAATAAGATCTAATTCTCATCTGTTTAAAAAAAAATTAGCTTTGTAATAAGTTGATTTTATTAGGTTTTAAGAAGTTATTACTATACTACCTTTTTAAACAAATGAGAATTGGATCTTATTTTTTGGCTATGAAGTCCTATAGCTCTAATTAAACCTTCTATATGTTTTTTTTGACTTTATTGTAGCTGGTTTTCGTTTTTTAAAAAAGTACTCTAAACTGTATAAATAATGTAAAATTAAATTGAATTTATTAGCCAATCAGACAAACTTCTGCTTATAATTAGAAATGAGTTGGAAAAATTAAAATAAGTATTTTTTATTAATAAAATTGAACTTGTACAATTCAAAATAATTCTTTCAATAACTATGATATACTATCAACTTTAACATAATTAGCACTAACTTCAAACTATTTCATCATATTTATTGTATTAATTATCTTATTCAGAATATAATGTACATAATCTAAAAAACAGCAAAACAAGCCCAAAAATCAAGAATATAAATATCTATTTACTATTATATACTATATTCACAAGATTAATTATTACAGTTTGTATAAATTGATGAAATTCATAGATCTATAAATTTCACAAATTTATTTAAAGCCACAAAAATTGAAATAATAATCATAGTTTTTCGACTTATAATAATTATGATTGATTTTTTTCATCAATCAAGATAACTACTCTGATCTTAACTCCCTGAGTGTTCTTATGCAGCACCCTCAGTATAATTTGCTAATATTCTAATACTCTTTATCATTTTACTAGTACTAATCATTCTATTCAGTATAAGAGATAAAATTATTGATTAATCATTTGAATTCAATTGCAAAACCAATTTGCAGATCAAGAAAATAAATAGCTATTTACCATTATGTACTGTATGCACAAATCATTTTCATTTGCATCATGATTTAGCTGTCATAATTATTGCATGAATGGTTAGCAAAATTGATTAATTTCAGCCTAGCCAATCAGAATTTCAATATACTTCAACCTGAAATTTTGGAAATCCTTATATAAGTTATAGTTCTATTTGGCTTTTGATTGCTTGATCACAATTATGATATTACTAGAAAGAAAGGGAAGTTATTAGTTAGTAATAGTTATATAAAGAATTAAAAAAATGCATTTTTATACTTAGCTTGTTTAATGAAAAATCCTAATCTTGCCCTCTGTTGTAATATTACAATAACCTTTAAGATGTTCTATAGAATAGGTGGGCAAACTCTGCAAACTTTACAACTTTGCTATTAAAAAATTAATGATTACTAATTATTAGCAAAACTAATTTCTTATATTGCTTACCTATTCTATAGAATATCCAAAAAGAAAAAGCAAAAACCCTGTGTTGAAGTTATCTGATTAATGCTAATCTGGTTTAATAATTTTCAAGAAATTTTGAAAAGCACAAATCATTTTCATATTTGAGAATTCACTAAAGCAAGTATGTATGTATATATCTAAACAATGCAAAATCAAATTAATATATAATGTAACTATTTGTGTGCATTTCTGCCTTTCTATATAAATTGTCTATGCATTTAATTTTAATACTTGCTGTGAATATTTGATTGTTGAAATAAATCATATGATGCTCAAATATAAAAGCATTAAATTAATGATAAATTAATTATAACTCTATCAGGAAGGCCTTCAAAAATATGGGTCATATAGTAATAGCACTTATGTTTAATATGCACAATATACAACTATGCATAATGCAAAGTCAAAATTTTGTTTACTATGAATACAGCAGGTGGCACCACTATATGGCCCATATTTTTGAAGATCTCTCTGATAAAGTTGTTGATTATAAGTAACATTATATGATATGTTAAGCAAAAAGAAAAAAATACAATCCATTTAAGTGTGTCTCCAAATTGTTTTTTTATATTAATTGCCCATGAATTTGATTTCTATACTTGCCATGAACATTCGATTGCTGAAGTAAATTATATGATATTCAAGTATAAAGATATTGAATTAATAATAAATTAATTATAAGTAACATCATTTGATTGCTAAAGCAAATCATATGTTCATATATAAAAACATTTAATTAATAATAAATAACATCTTATAATATACTAAGTAAGAAAAAAAAAAAAAGTTACAGTCAGTGATTAAATTTAGAATAAAGAAGACAAAAATAAAAAACTTAGAATAAAAAATTTCAAAGCTCCTTTGTTCACACTTGCAGTATAGAATTTATTTGCTTAAACTGCATTTCATTATATTCAATAAAAATATAAAAGTATAAAAAATTAGATTATATTAAGTGTTATTTGATAAATTATATAAAAAGTATTGAATTGCTTTTGTAATTAACCAGAAAACTATCAGTTCAATATTTTAAATAAAACCCATCTCAACTATTATTGCTTGTAGTATATAAACACATTTCATATCTTATAAAAACTTTGTTAAAAAAAGATATTTGTAAGTTAATATTACTTGTATTACTGTATAAAATTTGCTATTACACTGTACAAAACTACTTTATCTCATCAAATAATTCATCATTCTGCTTATAAATAAAAGATAGTAATTCATTCAAATTATTATGTTTTCAATATTCTTGTGAATATGGTGCAGAATATTCTGGTTACCATTTAGAACCAAATAATGAAGCCTTGTATAAAGATATGGAAATACTTGATGAAGCTTCAGTAGATGAAGCTCAACCAGAAGAACTAATTTATAATGAGGATTTGATTTAACATATAACAATAATAATAATGATAGTAAAGAACAAATAAACAAATTAGTATTAAATGCAGATAATAAATTTAATACATAGGACCTAGCTAATAAATTTCTTGATGATTATACAAAACAAGAAAGCTTCAGTATATGTAAGAAAAGGCATATTAGATTCAAAGAATAATACTATTATAAGACGTCGAATGTATAAATGCTCTTATGCTGGCATACACAAACCTCAGAAGGAAATTCTAGAAGAGAACAGAAGAGATTGAGATTCATATATGATTGGATATTCCTGGCATGTTATCCTTGCTTTTTCTAAATTAGCTAATAAAATTCAGATTAATAATATAATCAGTGAATATAATCATGAGTTAAATCCTTTCATTACTGAAATAGTACCAAAATTCAGAAGGTTAACAGAGGAAATGCTAGAAAAAGTTAAATTTTGAACAATTCATAAAAGAATGAATATAGTGACCTAATACAATCTATTAGTTGCATTATTTTTGTATAAAGTAATAAATAAAAAAAATTTGAGTAATACTATACAAAAATTTAAAAAAGAAGTAAAACTAGATAAAAATGTTGCATGTAATATGCTTACCACATTATATTTTAAAAAAAATAATGATCCAAGGTGGATAATAAAGCCTCAGTTTGAGCCAGATAAAAGAAAGCTAAATTCATTGTTTTGGATATCCCTCGATCAAGTTAATGTTCATAAAAAATATAGAGATGTTGTTATCATTGATATAACATCTAAAACTAATCAATTTGATATGATATTAATGTTAGTTATAGTTGTTGACAATAACTTTCAAAATTTAATAATAGCTGCTGCACTTTTAGAAGATGAAACAGAAGCAACCTTTATATGGGTTTTTCAAGAATTAAAAAACTCTTGCGATGCTGCTCCAGTAGTTTTATATTCTGATGCTAATTCAGCATTAATATCATCTATAAGAAATAATTATCCAGAGACATGACATCTTTACTGCATTTTTCACATTGACCTAAACTTAAGAAAGAAGCTTAAAGGAAAGTTGAGAGATCAGTTTGAATCATTTTGTTCTAAATTTTTAGTGATGCATAATTCACTTTGTTACAATAAATTTGCAACCTAATGGAATGTACTTATTAATAAATATTTATATTGTAAAAACTATCTTAAAAGAACTTTATATTCTTGTAAAAGTAGTTGGGTCAGTTATATGATCAATAGAAATTTTACTGCCAGGATTCAAAGCACATAGCGAGCAGAAGTATGTAATAAAATAATCAAGAACAGACTAACCAAATTTTTATGTTTAGCCAAGGTTGTTGAAGAAATTCAGAAGACCTTTAATAATTAGTTAAAAAAAGCAATTTTAAGTGAATATAAAAATTAAATTTTAACAAAAAAAATGCCAAGTATAATTGATGAATACTTTTCCAGGTTAGATAAAATTTTACAAGAGTATTTGACACCACAAATTCTTCAAAAACAGTATGATCAAATGGTGCAATCACTATGCTATAATGTGTTTTTATATAATAATTGGCAATTACTTTTGGAGATAAGGTTTAGTTAAGAAAATTATAGTATAACAAAAATAGTAACTAACATATTATTAATGAACTTCCCTTGGTATAGATGATGAACAATTCTTATCAACAAAATATAGCCAGAGAAGATGATTATGATCAACTACAATCATTATTTACATCATTGTTGGAAGCAATACCTTATAATTCTGTTAAAGAAGTGTGAAAAGTAATTAGACATAGTGTACAAAACCCAGAACTACAATGTATACTTCTTCTTAATAATGGCTCACATTTATGCACTTGTCTTTTGCTAATCAATAAAGGAATAATGTGCTGATACTTTTTTCATATTATGTTTTACTCAACTAATATGTATTTTTATATTTTATTAATTCCTAATACTGGTACAATAACAACAAATATAATACCAGTTAAGAGAATATACTGACTTACTAATTTACTAAAAAAGAATTAAAACTACCTTTACTCCAACCTTTAACATTTCAGCATTTGGTAGGATTTAAACAAGTACATAATATTGACTAGCTACAAGGACCTAAACAAAAATATGGATTCAGAATAGGCTATGTTAAAAAAGCTCTTGATCTTGCAATTCAGGCTGACAAAGTTAAAAAATTTATTAGTCACTTGAAAAATTTTATTGAATTGACAAAAAATGATTTGTTTAACACACAAGACAATGCTAGTTTTATAAGCATTGAAGATCCTTTACATGTACTACATAAAGGGTGGCAACCAAATAGATATAAATTTAGTAATGAGCCTTCAAAAAAAGCTTGACATATTGTTCAAAGTACTGATCAAAGCAATGAAGATGAAATCTAAAAGGCAACCAAAGCTTTAAATAATGATTATATTAGTACCTTACAAGATTTAAAAAAAAAGGTTAAAAGGTATCATAAATGCAAACAAGTTGGTCATTATGCACCAACATGTCCAAATGTTAATGAGTTAAAAATGTAGAGTATATATATATGTACATATTCAGAAAAGTGTAAAATAAAGTAAAAAATATTATATAAAATACTGCAAAGCATAATAAGAATAAGCTGCTCAGTGAGATCATGAAAGATCATTATATATGCACCAATCAGATTTTTTAAAATGATTGTTGCCAATAAGATCATTAAATTAGGTATAATATGAAAATCATGTTTTTTTTTAAAAAACTGATGATAACTAAAAATTTTGAATATGAAACCACTTCCTATACTCTAATAAAAAAAATTCTATATAAAATTTTATTATAAAACATGCATATTATAATCTCTATACCAATTCTAATATAAGGTTTTAGTACTTTAAAATATTCTGCATATTAAAGTTGTTTTGATTATTCGAAAAGGTCTAATTGGTGCATATATGATAATCTTTCATGGTCTTACTAAGGTAGCTAGCAATGATATATGATATACAATGTAGCAATAATATATAAATCTATAACTTAGCAATATATACAAAGTTGATATTTTTTTATATATAAACTATATATATTAGTAAATCAAATAAATAAATAAATTATTATATAACATACTAGATGATATCTCTCTAGGTAAAAATTAGTTAAAACCAAACAATATTATACAATTTTACTTAAATTCTTAAAAAACTTAAAATATTTATAACAGGTACACTCTCCTCGCTGATCATTCGTACACAAAACTGTAGAAAAATACTTTAGAAATTTGCTAAAAAATGGCTGTCAAAACCAACCTTACAGGCTTAAGAAAAAAGATAGAGCTTGTGAAAAAATATATAATAAGAGATAGAAGTAAAAAAATAAAAAGCTTTTAGAAAAGATAGAGAAGAAAATATCTCGGTCGACATTTGGAAAAGTGAAATTTGGGAAATTCTCTGTAA